CAATCCAATTGGGGATGGACCCGGGTTGGTCCCGCCCTAGTTCTGGGTCGAGATTGCCCAGTTCTAGCAATATTTTGATGAGCCACATGAGCGATCAACTATTTTCCGGCTCTGGGACGTTCCGGGTACCTGGGCAGTCCGGCCCCGATCTTGATATCGTACCTATTATATTTTTTTGTCCGATTTCAAGCTAAAAAAAATTGGCTGGTTCAGGACCGAGCCGCCCGATTCAGTCTCAAATATTGAGACCCAGAAACGGGTAACCCTTTTACCCAATCAGATACCCGGTCTTAACTCGATTTCGAAAAAACGAACCCGGTTCGGTCCCAAAAAGTACAAGGCATGGTTCTAGACTAGGCCAGACCGTCGGACTTTGTCCACCCCTAACTCCAAAAAATGCGTTTACCAAAAACAAAAAAATGAGATATGTCAATGTTTTCCTGAATAAATTAGATAAGTGACCTTTACTAGTTTTCCAAATTCGAAAAACACGGATGCTACAGTGTCGCTGCAATGAATTTGCATACTTAGCTTATGCCTAGTGGTGGACCCAGTCCCCCTCCAGTGTCAATTCTAGTTTGGTCTGGTCAATGTCTCGACAGTCCCTATTTGGTCCTGTCAACGACCCGACAGTTAGGTCCGGTCCGGTCGACGTTTGAGCAATCCAAGAGTGGTCCAGTCCGGTCGATGACCCGATGATCCCAATCCGGTTCAGTCGATGACTTGGCGGTCTCTGTCTGGTTCGGTCCACGACCCGGCGGCTCTATTCGTCCCGATCCACGACCCGGTGGTTCCTGTCTGGTCCGGTCCACGACCCGACGGTCCCTGTCTGATCCGGTCCACGACCCGACGACCCTTGTCCGGTACGGTCCATGATTCAGCGTCCCCTGCCCGGTCTGGTCGATGACACGACGGTCCCTGTCCAATCTAATCTACGACCAGGCGGTACCTGTTCAGTCCGGTCGACAGTCGAGCAGTTTCGGTCCGATCTGTTCCGATCGACAACTCGGCAGTCCCCGTCTGATCCGGTCAACGACCCGACGGTCCCCGTCCTATCCGGACAACCACCCGGTGGTCCCCGTCCTGCCCGATCAATGACCCGTCGGTCCCCCATCATTTCCGGTCAATGACCCGATGATTTGTGTTTGGTCCGATCAATAACCGGGCAGGCCCGAGCCAGTCCTGTCAACGACTAGGCGGTCCATGTCCGGCTGTCTAGGCCGGTCAATGACCCGACAGTTCAGAGTTTTAAATAATTTTTTAAAGTGAAGAGTTTTAAAAGAGTCATTGAGTTATCAACCAATAGGGAAATGAGAAAAGAATTTGACAAACTAACCGTTGAGATCGACTGGGACTGGCTGAGTTTGGTCCCGACTTTACTATACGTGGGACCTGGTACCCTATTTGGGTTTTACTATGTTCGTTTCCGGATTGAGGCCATACTTTCGATCTTCTGGTCGATCATAGAACCGAGTGAAAAAAATTTGATGAACATGTTTTCCAATTTGAAAATGAAAAACTAAAAATGAAAACTGAAACACGCCACCCTGCCGACGACGAAGAACCTTCAACAACGGCATGTCAATTGCCTGAAAAGATGTGGTTTATGTGGAGAAGACGATGAATCCCTGATACATCTTTTCATTAATTGTGTGGTAGCAAGGACGACTTGTAACTCGGTAGGGTGGCGTGTTTCTGGTCAGACGAGAGGTGATTTTCTGGAATGGCTTCAATCATTGTTCCCAGCCTAGAACGGTGACGATATGTGGACAATTGCTTGGGGATGTTGGGGGTTGTGGATTGAACGCAGTCGACGAGCTGGCGGGGGGGGGGGGGGGGAGTAAGGTTCTTAGCCCGTTTAGGCACTAGGCTTGGAGTTTTGTTGAGAGTTGGTGTCCTGCCCAAATGAAGGAGCACAGATTTGGGACGAAGTTGTAGATGGGAAATCCGAGATGGAGGTGTCCGGCGAGGGGGGTCTTGAAGGTTAATGTTGATGCTTCTATTTATGGTTAGTACCACAGGCTAGGCTGGGTGGTCTGTAATGTTTCAGGGCAGTTTTATTGGAGGATGAGCCATGAAGGGGGAAGACAAATATTCCTTGTTGGAAGCTGAGTTGTTGGATATTCATGAAGTGTTGAGCTAGTTGAAGGATCAAGCTTGGGATTGTGTTGAGGTTGAGTCAGATTCTTTATTGGCGGTTTCAGAAATTCAAAATGGTTCAAGTATATCATCTGGAGGTTTGGTAGTTAATAGTATAGTATTGTTATTGTTTATGTTTGTAATTTTAACAAGTTTTATTATTGTTTGGAAAACTAGACACTTTTGGTGTAATCCTTTATTTTTCCTAGTTATTTGTAATTTACTTAGATTATGATTATTCTGAGCTTAAACCAGGTAAAGATCATCAAAAGGATCCCGGGAAGGTCTAGGAAAGTGCAAGAAAACAAAATAAAGTGAAAATTTGGGAAATAAGTCATATACCTGGGCGGGTATACTATATGGCCGATCGGGTATGGACATGACCCGAGAATCAAATCTGATTCGGGAGGCAATTAAACGTGCATGATGAAGATTTAGCAATATTTGTCTTATACCTGATTGGGTAAACCGACATACCCGATCGGGTATGATGTAATTTCTGAAGTTTTTGAGAAATTACTAAGGAAACCCGATCGGGTATCCTATATACCTGGTCAGGTATCTGACCCTGCCACCTTCAAACACCTATAAATACAACCCTTTTCCTTCCCATTTAATAATCAATTCACATATACCTCTAAGTTCAGTTTAGACAAGTATTTTTTTTAGATTTTTCTAGTATGTTTAGTCTCCAAATGAGGGGCTAAACCCTTCCATCTTAGTTTGGCTACATTGAAGCTTATGATTGGTACGTTGTGAGTTATTTTCTTTAATCATCTTCCTTGAATATTAATTACATTCCTATTTTATATCTCATATTATTATTTGAGCATTGCTTAAAGGATCAACTAGTTTTGCTCCACATATTAATTATTACTAGAATTGATCGACAAATACGTTTGTTATTCGTCCGGGTCTTTCAATAGTAGTAAACTTGGATTATTAATGCATGTGTTTCATGATTAATTATCTAAGAGAGATTAATTATATTGATTAAACTAATAAGCCGCTTGTGTTTAGGTTGTCAATCCCAGTCGATTTCATCTTAAGTTTTATTGCTATTATCAGATCAATAAAAGACACGTGTTCTATATTGACTTGATAGTAAGTTTTATTAATGAACGTGTCTTGTTATTAATACCTACCATCGATGAATTGGAAATACTCCACGACTGAGTGTTCGAGAGGAAGATAGTTAAAGATATAGACATATAGCCAGGATCAACGAACATTTCACCAAGTGGATATAAGCAAAACCAAGTCACAATCTCTATTAATTTAAACCACATAAGTCGTTCATCTTAGTGTTTAACTACTTCTTAAGTTCAAACAATCTCAAAAATTTCCCTTGTTACAATTTATTAAAAGAAAGATATTTCTTTCCCAATGGATACGATCCTTACTACGCTATACTGCAGTATTAGTGCAAGTATTGAGTAGTATCTTGATGCACACAACGACTCTAGTGTCATCACTAGCAGGTGACATTGGAGAGATCAGCTAAGAGTTTATTTATATTTCCTTTTCTTTTGTTAGGCGTTCAACGAACAAGGTTGCACACACATTAGCTCAAGCGGTTTGTTCTTTGTAAGATAGTCAGTTGTGAATGTTTACTCCTCCGAGTTGTACTATCAGTGCTTTGTTCTTTGATTTGATTAAGGTTAAATAAGTTTCTTGTGGCAAAAAATAACCCGTTTATTTTCCTATTTGTTAATAAAGTTTAGATTTGATAATATCTATCTAATTTCATTTTTTTCCTTTTAATTTTTAGTTGGATGGGAGGACAATGACATCGCGAGTTGAAAAAGAATTTAGAATTTTGTGACTTGGAGAATGTTTGATTTTTAGAACCCTGTTATATTTAGAGAAAACATCAAATAAATTTCCCGTAGTATATGAATGATTTTAGGAAAAATTGAAAACAATAATCCCAACTATTGCTGGTCCGTTGAAAATAATCCCAACTATTGATTATTTTTGTATAATCCCAACTATATAGACTATCCGCCAATAATGGTCCATGACCACATATTACCTCTATAAAAAGTGAATTTTAAATAGAAATTAAGCGCAAAAATTAAAAGTTGAGATTATTTATAGGGATTACTTGTTATATCTCATCTCATCCACTTTAGAAACTACAAGAATTTATTCATAGGGACCATTATTGGCGGAAGGTCCCTAAAGTTGGGATTATTCAGTAATAATCAATAGTTAGAATTATTATGAGCGGACCGCCAATAGTTGGGATTATTACTATCAATTTTTCCATGATTTTAATTGGACTGAAATTTTTTGGTCCGGTTTGATCTGGTCTCGTTTGGTCGGATAGATGTTTGGTCTCTATGTATTTTATAATTATCCAAGTCTGGTCTGGTTTGGGACTGAAAACAATCCAAGTGAAAACATCCTAATACAAATGATAATTAAGCCGTCATATATTATATGAAAACTCAATCAAAGCCCCATAGTTCAAAAAAACATCCAATAAGGATGTTTTTACTTGGACTGTAATTTGCCCCAGACCAGAGCAGACCAGTCCAGACCAGACCAGTTCAGACCAGACCAGACTTGGATAGTTATATAAAAATACAAAGAAACCAGACCTTACCAGACCAGACCAGACCAGTTCAGACCAGACCAGATCAGACCAGACCAGCAAATTACAGTCCAAGTAAAAACATCCTAATTGGTTTAACTGGTTAGCAAACGGCTAGCCTGTGAGGTGCTTATATGTAGTTGTCACGCCCCGGACCGCATCCGAGCGCGTGTACAACCGCCGTATGACTAAACGACGTCACCCGCAAGTCAACGTGACTTAATCATACAAGGCGTCCATGAACATTGTTCATACCATACTCAGTAAGTAAACATACATAACAACATCACATATTTGGATTGAACGAATCGCGGAAATATTCAATATTCAATCATGGGCCACATATGGCCAAAACGTGGACTCGCAGGCCCAAAACAAATGTACTTATTACAAATTATCCATGAGCATAGTTTGTAGTTTAAAACAGTAAAGGAAGCACGAACCACGTCTCCCTTAAGATTACTTCACCGAGCAAGGTGAGAATGCAAGCTTGAGCTTCAACCTGAAATGGTGGGGCCCCCCGAAGGGGTCAGTACAAGTACCGAGCGAGTAGCAGGCTAAATGTAGAATAACTAACGTTTCAAGTATAAGACCCAAACATAGGGTGATACATATACATATAGTTCTTTCCCCCAAGTTATGAAATATATATCATTATATATACACTTGGAAATACCCGACCCGTAGGTCATTGTTTATTTGGGAAATAATATAGCCGGTAACCTTGGCTTAAACCCCAACCCACCCATATACCTATGAGTGTATAGAACTCCTCCTGGTTCAAATTATCTTAACTTGAGGACACCGCCCGGTCCTAAATTACAAATAGTAATCTATGAGTTTTGAGGATACACGCCCGATCCTTGGGTACTCCACCCTATATAACCGAGTTTTGAGGATAACCGCCCGATCCTTGGGTACTCCACCCTATAACCGAGTTTTGAGGATACACGCCCGATCCTTGGGTACTCCACCCTATAACCGAGTTTTGAGGATACCGCCCGATCCTTGGGTACTCCACCCTATAACCGAGTTTTGAGGATACCGCCCGATCCTTGGGTACTCCACCCGACTTATGATCTACCACATATCATCCTAGATAAGGTCTATATCATAATCAAAAATCAAGACTAAACCAAGTCTTAAGGCCTAAGCATAATCATCCATGCAATTCATGCATTAAAATCAACATATAGGCAAAACAGTGCCAAACCGGCGCCGGTTTTGACATAACCGGCGCCGGTTATTATTTAATTCAATAAAACCGGCCATGCCGATCCATAACCGGCGCCGGTTTTGCCTATAACCGGCGCCGGTTGCCCCCTGGGCAACCAAGTCAACATTTTCGTTGACTCGCCATTTCAAACCCGATTTGCGTCAAACTTAATCCCAACATGTATTAAGTTATAACCAAGCATTTTATGCCCCTTTTATCCCTTAAAACATCATATATGTTTTTATAAACATTTTCATATCATACTTCATTTATGATAGATATCAATGGGTCATACATATAAGTCTAATCACTTTGGATAATCACATGTTAAGCATCTTTTAAACATTATTATGAACACATATAACATTTACTTAGGAAATCTCATAATTAACCCAAGAGTTATAAGACATCAAGCCGTCCACTCACCTCAAATGAGCGTGATGAAGTTCTACTCCTCTCGGTTGAACTCCGGCCAAACTCCGGTGAACTTTGACGAACTCCGGCGATAACTCCGGCGACCCTTTAAACTTCGTGAAAGCTTTTAAGTCACCTTTGACAAGTTCCTAACAAGGTTTTATCATCACAAAACCCATATTAATACAAATAACCTCTAAAAGGTTATTTTCCGGCTAACCGGTCGTTTTGGCTCCTAAGGTGCTGTTCTGTTCGTCTTATTCTTATTACTTATTGCTTATTCTTATTTTATTCAGATCAGATCAGATCAGATCAGAAAAATTCAGATCAGATCAGATCAGATCAGAAAAATTCAGATCAGATCAGATCCGATCAGAAAGATTCAGATCAGATCAGATCAGATCAGAAAGATTCAGATCAGATCAGACCAGATCAGAAACATTCAGATCAGATCAGATCAGAAAAGTTCAAACATGATTTATCATTTTTATTATTATATTAAATATTAATTATTATTATTAATATTGTTATTACTATTATGATTATTATTATATAATTATTATTAATAATATTAATAATAATATGATAAAAAAAGATATTAATAATAGTTATAATATTTTAATATAATAATAGTAATATAAATGCAATTGTTAAGAAGACTATTATTATTATTATTACAATATTATAATAATAATAATATGATTAATATTATTATAATATTATATTATAATTATATGTAATTATAATATTAATTACAATTATAATTCTTATAATTATAAGTATAATCAATTGTAATTATTATAATTATATCTATAATTAATTATAAATATAATTGTAATTAATGATAATTATAATAATTATAATTATAATTACAATCATAATTATAATTATGATTATAATTATAATTATAATATAATATTATAATAATATAATACTAATTATAATAATAATCATATTATTATTATATTATTGTAATAATAATATTATTATATTATTGTAATAATAATATTAATATAATAATATCGTTATAATAATATTAATTGTATTTATATTACTATTATTAAATTATAATATTATAATTAATGTTAATATAATTATAATTATTATTAATTATAATTATAATAATTATAATTATACTTATAATTATATTATAATTATAATTTATGATTATAATTATTATTTTTATTATAATTATTAATATTATTATTATTATTATTATTATTACTATTGTAATTATTTTACGGAGTAATTATAATAATATTGATAACTATAATTACAATTATAGAGATAAATATTGTAATTATAATTACAATTATAATTATAATTTTATTTAAATTATATTTGTAATTGCAATTATAATAATTATAATTATCATTATAATTATAATTATAATTATAATCATAGAAATATTCGAATCAGATCAGATCAGAAAGATTCAGATCAGATCAGAAGGATTCAGATCAGATCAGAAACATTCAGATCAGATCAGATCAGATCAGAAACATTCAGATCAGATCAGAAAGATTCAGATCAGATCAGATCAGAAAGATTCAGATCAGATCAGATCAGATCAGACAGATTCAGATCAGATCAGATCAGAAAAATTCAGATAAGATCAGATCAGAACTTAAAAAATTCAGATCAGAAACATTCAGATCAGGCGAAGAGAACAGCTTCTAAGTCCGTTTTTGGACTTAGAACTAGTTTCAACCCCTTGTTCCACACTTATACACATGTGGAGCATCCTTAAGGGTAGTTCATATGATATATAAGTCATATGAAATCAAAAGATGGAAGAGAAGTTGTTAAAGAGCTACTCACCTTTATTCTCAAGGTCTTTCTCTACTTTTGCAACCTTTTTCTTCTTCCTTGAGCTCTTTGCTTGTTTGAGCTTTCTTGGCTATGGAGATGGAGGGTTTTCAGAGCTATTTCTCTCTCTCTTTGGGGGCTGGGTCGAGCTAAGTGATTGGGGGGAGGTGATGTGTTTCCTTTTGTCTCAAATGTGAGATAATTGGGAGGGGAGGTCTACCTAGGGTCATTCCTACACCAACCAATCACTCTCACTCAATATACACCACTCCCCCATGCTATGCAGCTCCCCAAGTCAACCATCTAGCACACAAAAACGTGGGGTGGCCCCCACTCATGTGGGAGGTCATCCCAACTTGTCCCGATGTGTACAATCGGCCCCGAAAGTTGTATTTCTCGGACTGTTTTAGTTATATTTTATTTTATCGGGTCAAATAAAATATATTACATGTTCACACTCATTATGGATCTTAAGAATGAATATACATTCCCCAACTTTAATTTAAGTCTCCGAAATTCATTTCGGACTGTTATCCGATAATTATCCAAAACCGGTAATTGGGCCTCGTTTGACCAATCGGTCAACCCAATGCCTTTCTTATGATCCAAAGTGAATGTCCACTACCATATAACTATTATCTATACCATGATGAATAAAATAGGCGATCTCGTGAATATCGGGTGGTCCCCGCTCCCGGTGTGGGCCCCACGTGCAATTTACTATTCACGCAAAAGAATTAAAGGAAATTTACAACCTTGTAAATTCATTAACCATTTCATAAGATTCGACACACAATTTACTTAAAAGTAAATACACTTGGGGACGGTGTTACAAGTTCACCCCCCCTTATTTGGGATTTCGTCCCCGAAATCCACGTGTCTAATCGAAAAGAAACGGGTATTGCTCCCTCATTGAGACCTCGGTCTCCCAGGTTTCTTCTTCGACTCGATCACTCCTCCACAGAACCTTCACCATAGGAATCTCCTTGTTCCTAAGTTTCTTCACCTGTTGGCCCACTATTTCCACTGGTTCTACAGCATATTGCAAGTCCTCCCGGATCTCCACCGGTGGTTTCTCAAGAATATGTGACGGATCCCGTACATACTTCTTGAGCATCGATACATGAAAAACATCATGAATCTTCTCAAGTTCGGGGGTTAACTTGAGGCGATAAGCTACGGCCCCAATCCTCTCAAGGATTTCAAATGGACCAATGTATCGGGGGTTAAGCTTACCCCTTGATATGAATCGGATGATGCCTTTCCAAGGAGAGATCCTTAGAAAGACTTCATCCCCGACCTCAAACTCCAACGGCCTCCGCCGTTTGTCTGCATAGCTCTTCTGCCGATCTTGGGCAGCCATAAGTCTGTCACGGATGATCTTCACCTTAGCCTTGGTGATCTCAACGAGTTCTATCCCTTCGAGTTTGGCCTCGCCTACCTCATCCCAACACAAAGGTGTCCTGCACTTCCTCCCATATAATGCCTCGTAGGGAGGCATGCCAATACTCGCCTGATAACTGTTGTTATAGGCAAACTCTACCAGAGCCAAATGTTTGTCCCAACTCCCTTGGAACTCCAAAGCACACGCTCTAAGCATGTCCTCCAAAATCTGTATCACCCGTTCGGACTGTCCATCCGTCTGTGGGTGAAAAGCTGTACTAAACTTCAGTTTAGTACCCAAAGATGCTTGAAACTTTGGCCAAAATCTGGATGTGAATCGTGGATCCCTATCTGAGACAATGGATATCGGGACTCCATGCAATCTCACAATTTCTTCCGTATATAACTTGGCCAACCTTTCAAGAGGGTAGGTAATGTTGATAGGCAAGAAATGTGCGCTCTTGGTGAGCCTATCAACCACTACCCAAACTGCATCATAGTTGTTTACCGTCCGTGGTAGCCCTACCACGAAGTCCATAGTCACATGTTCCCACTTCCATTCTGGAATGGTAAGCGGCTGCAATAGTCCTGCCGGGTGTTGGTGTTCTGCCTTAACCTGCTGGCAAGTAAGGCATCGACTCACATACTCTGCGATGTCTCTCTTCATACCTGACCACCAGTAACTCTCCTTCAAGTCTCGGTACATCTTAGTACCCCCTGGATGCATGGCATAGGCCGAAGAATGAGCCTCCTCTAGTATAGACTTCTGGAGTTCCTCATTCCTTGGTATGCACACACGGTCTTTAAACATCAAAAGGCCATCCCCACGTACCCGAAAGTTCTCAACGGGCCCCTCAAGGATCCGTTCACGAATCTTCTGACATTCCTCGTCCATGGCCTGACGTCTACTGATCTCACTCAGTAATGTGGGCCTAACCTCAAAGCTAGCAATGAGGGCCCCGCATGTGGACACCTCTACGCGCGCCCTCAATGCCCGTAGACATGTGAGTAACGTCCCCGACGTACTCTTCCTGCTTAGCGCATCGGCCACCACGTTGGCCTTCCCGGGATGATAGTCGATGATCAAGTCATAGTCCTTGATCAACTCCATCCATCTCCTTTGTCTCATATTCAACTCTTTCTGAGTGAATACATACTTCAAACTCTTATGATCAGTATAAATGTGGCATGTCTCCCCGTAGAGATAATGCCTCCAAATCTTCAGTGCAAACACTACCGCCCCCAACTCCAGATCGTGGGTAGGGTAATTCACCTCGTGTTTCCTCAATTGCCTAGAGGCGTAGGCTATCACCTTACCGTTTTGCATCAACACACATCCTAGCCCTTGGATGCTAGCATCGCTATAGATATCGTACCCTATCCCTTGCTTGGGTAGGGCAAGAACTGGTGCCTCGGTAAGTCGCTTCTTCAATTCAAGAAACCCTTTCTCACATTTGTCATCCCATATGAACTTAGCCCCCTTCTTGGTGAGCTTCGTCAATGGAGACGCCAACACAGAGAATTTCTCAACAAACTTACGATAGTACCCCGCTAAGCCAAGGAAACTACGTATTTCTTTCACATTCTTGGGTCTCTCCCAGTCAATGATGGCTTTTATCTTGGCATTGTCCACTGCAACGCCCGAGCCGGATATGACATGCCCGAGAAAACCAATCTCTTTGAGCCAAAATTCACATTTGGAGAACTTGGCAAAGAGTTGTTTTTCTCTAAGTCGTTCGAGTACAAGCCTCAAGTGATGTTCATGCTCCTCCTCGCTCTTGGAGTATATCAAAATGTCATCAATGAATACTATCACAAATTGGTCCAAGTATTCACTAAACACTCGGTTCATCAAGTCCATGAATGCCGCCGGTGCGTTGGTTAACCCGAATGACATCACAAGAAACTCATAGTGGCCATATCTAGTGCGGAATGCACTCTTAGGTATGTCACTCTCCTTGATCTTCAACTGATGATAGCCCGATCTCAAATCAATTTTGGAGAACACTATCGCCCCCCGAAGTTGATCAAACAAGTCATCAATCCTCGGTAAAGGATACTTATTCTTGATCGTGACCTTGTTCAACTGTCGGTAATCTATGCACATTCTCAATGTACCATCTTTCTTCTTCACGAAGAGTACTGGTGCTCCCCACGGTGAGTGGCTGGGTCTAATGAATCCGTTGTCCAAGAGTTCTTGTAGTTGGACCTTCAACTCTTGAAGTTCCGCCGGTGCCATCCGATAAGGAGGTATCGAAATGGGTTTGGTTCCCGGTTCAACTTCAATTACGAACTCAATCTCCCGGTCGGGTGGAAGTCCCGGCAAGTCTTTGGGAAAGACGTCCGGATACTTGCACGCGACACGTACATCATTGATGTCTATCTCTTTCTTTGTCTCATCAATTACGTAAGCAAGGTATGCGTGGCATCCTTTTCTCATCATCTTCCGTGCTCTCATCACAGATATGATACAACCATGAGATCCTCCCCGATCTCCCTCGAAACGAAAGGTGTTCCCCTTATCATCCTCGAGTTCCAACACTTTGGTGTAGCAATCAACTCGAGCATGGTGCTTTTCAAGCCAATCCATTCCTAGGATAGCATCGAACTCCATCATACTTAGAGGTACGAAGTCACAAGTCAAAGGTTGACCCGTCACTTCTACCTCACATGATGGATAGTAATGGTCCCTCTCCACGTCATCTCCCAATGGTGTGGAGACTACCAAGGTTTGCGTCATTGGCGTCAATGGCACGTCAAGACCTTCGGCGAACGCTTCACTCACAAATGAACGTTGAGCCCCGGTATCAATGAGAATTCTTGCATTTCTTCCATTGATCAATAGTGTTCCTACATTTATAGATGATGTAAGACACACTATTCGAAGTACCGGATCGAAAACGGGCTAACGGACATTTTCTGGCCGAAAATGTACTGGACCGGCGCCGGTTCTAGGCCAGACCGGCGCCGGTTTTCCCCTGGGATGGCCGAATACACACCAATTACACTGGACCGGCGCCGGTTATGGCCAAACCGGCGCCGGTTTACCTTCGGCAACCTCGGAAAAATCATTTTCTTTAAAAACCGGCCCCGGTTACGAGCACGGTGATTTGTCCCGGCATAATTTCCCCTAGACCGGCGCCGGTTATGGGCAAAACCGGCGCCGGTTTTCCTTCGGCCCTTCCCCGGAAATTCGATTTTGTTGTTTTCAGCCTTTCCGAAACCGGACCGGCGCTGGTTATGGGCAAAACCGGCGCCGGTTCACCTACGGCAGCCCCAACCAAGTAACATTTAAATATAACCGGCACCGGTTTAAGCCATGACCGGCGCCGGTTTACCCCTGGGCAGCTGTATTCCTACAACTTTTTGCTAAAAACACGCCGGTATCGACCCCGGCGAGCCCGTACAAGCCCGCTATCATTTTTAAGACTTAACAACATATAATTTATCAAACATTACCAGGGATTACCTGCAACGGAGTCGGGGTTAGCCCGGGCATCGGCCTCGGTCATAGCATAGACTCGTGCTTGGGCCCCGGTTTGGTTGACGGACGCGGCATGGCTCGTTGATGCGCCGCCTCTCCCCGTGCCACCATGTGACGGTCCCGCACGGTTCCTCCCCGTCATGGACCCTCCTCCGGCTCCCGGTGTGTTCTCCTGAGTCGCTTGAGGACAATTGGCCTTCATATGGCCCGCATTCCCACACTTGAAACACCTTGGTGGTTCATTACACTTCCCAAAATGCTGTTTTGAGCAATTGGGACATCTAGGTGCTCCCGAGTTCTGTGGCCTAGGTCCGTGCCACCTCCCGTCCCTATTCTTTTTCGCCGGTGGAGCCGGCGCCTTGAATGAGCCCCCACCACCACCATGGTTGTTCTTTCGGGAATGATCGGGCGGCCCCGAACTGTTCCACTTCCTCTTCTTCGCCTCCTCGGCGTCCCTTGCTTTCCTCTCATTCCACTGGGCCTCTCCCAACATGCCCTGTTCTACCACCTCACTGAAAGTCATGAGGCGTGAGTATGTAGCACGGTCTCGGATGTCTAAAAGTAAGGCATCCCAGAAGTGCTCAGTCATGCGGTCCTCATCGATCGCGTACTCCGGTAAGAACCTAGCCAAGGTTCTAAACTCCTGCTCCAGCTGCTTAACAGTACAACCCTCTTTCTGCTTGAGGTTAGTATACTCCCTCCTTTTCACATTAACCTCAAAATCGGAGTAGTATTGGGCATAAAACTCCCGCTCAAAATTTTCCCATGTGATATTTCCACGGTACTTCCCTTCTACACCTTCCCACCATGTAGAAGCCATCCCCTCAAGCAACCGTGAAGCAACAGTTAGCTTCACGTCCGGAGTAATTTGCATGTCCCATTGATGCATCTTTCACTTTCTTGATCCAATCGGCGGCAACGGTAATGTCACCGGTGCCATCGAAGGACCTACACCCCAAGGCCCTAGCCTCCTTGAGGTACTTGGAGATTCTCACACAGAAACCTCCCTCACGGCCACTTCGTGGCTCCATTGGAATAGCCCTTGAAGCTTCCCGGCTTCCTTGGCCTGAACCCCCTTGAGAGGCACGCCTCGCTTGGCGCCTCATGTCTCTCCTCTGCTTCTCCTTTTGATACCACTCTAGGAGTTCCCCCATTTGGGCGAACCGGGCATCACTCTCGTCATCGTTCTCATCGTCGGTGTGGAAGTCACCCCCATCATATGGGGTCTCATCATGCTCCGTCTCGGGAACATAGGTAGAGTCATAGTTCTCGGTGTTAGTCTCGTACACCGAACTCACGTGGCCATCACTCACTGTTTGGGCTCGGTGGCCCCCGCGACCTCCACGGCCTCCGCGGCCTCCTCTTCCACCTCTAGAGCTCCGAGATGCAGCCCGACTAGCTCCAACAGAAGCTATCGGTGTTTGCCCTCTCGGATTGTTTCTGGTCCGCATGCGCCTACCCTCCATTTCTGAAAAGGAATTTGGACGAGTCGTTAGACTCCATTCAATGTCAATTGACGGAAAACGTTATAGACACGTATTGGCCCAAGTCGCCGCCATACCAATTGTTAAGGGTACCATCTTAACAACTAGAGACCTTGCGACCTAGGTAACAATAGTTCTATAAGCGTCAAAATACAATGCTCATGGTTTTCGATAAAACTCTTTTGTAAAGTCTCATGTGAGAGGTTGATTATATAGTTTAGAAACTGAGATGGCTCTGATACCACTTAATTGTCACGCCCCGGACCGCATCCGAGCGCGTGTACAACCGCCGTATGACTAAACGACGTCACCCGCAAGTCAACGTGACTTAATCATACAAGGCGTCCATGAACATTGTTCATACCATACTCAGTAAGTAAACATACATAACAACATCACATATTTGGATTGAACGAATCGCGGAAATATTCAATATTCAATCATGGGCCACATATGGCCAAAACGTGGACTCGCAGGCCCAAAACAAATGTACTTATTACAAATTATCCATGAGCATAGTTTGTAGTTTAAAACAGTAAAGGAAGCACGAACCACGTCTCCCTTAAGATTACTTCACCGAGCAAGGTGAGAATGCAAGCTTGAGCTTCAACCTGAAATGGTGGGGCCCCCCGAAGGGGTCAGTACAAGTACCGAGCGAGTAGCAGGCTAAATGTAGAATAACTAACGTTTCAAGTATAAGACCCAAACATAGGGTGATACATATACATATAGTTCTTTCCCCCAAGTTATGAAATATATATCATTATATATACACTTGGAAATACCCGACCCGTAGGTCATTGTTTATTTGGGAAATAATATAGCCGGTAACCTTGGCTTAAACCCCAACCCACCCATATACCTATGAGTGTATAGAACTCCTCCTGGTTCAAATTATCTTAACTTGAGGACACCGCCCGGTCCTAAATTACAAATAGTAATCTATGAGTTTTGAGGATACACGCCCGATCCTTGGGTACTCCACCCTATATAACCGAGTTTTGAGGATAACCGCCCGATCCTTGGGTACTCCACCCTATAACCGAGTTTTGAGGATACACGCCCGATCCTTGGGTACTCCACCCTATAACCGAGTTTTGAGGATACCGCCCGATCCTTGGGTACTCCACCCTATAACCGAGTTTTGAGGATACCGCCCGATCCTTGGGTACTCCACCCGACTTATGATCTACCACATATCATCCTAGATAAGGTCTATATCATAATCAAAAATCAAGACTAAACCAAGTCTTAAGGCCTAAGCATAATCATCCATGCAATTCATGCATTAAAATCAACATATAGGCAAAACAGTGCCAAACCGGCGCCGGTTTTGACATAACCGGCGCCGGTTATTATTTAATTCAATAAAACCGGCCATGCCGATCCATAACCGGCGCCGGTTTTGCCTATAACCGGCGCCGGTTGCCCCCTGGGCAACCAAGTCAACATTTTCGTTGACTCGCCATTTCAAACCCGATTTGCGTCAAACTTAATCCCAACATGTATTAAGTTATAACCAAGCATTTTATGCCCCTTTTATCCCTTAAAACATCATATATGTTTTTATAAACATTTTCATATCATACTTCATTTATGATAGATATCAATGGGTCATACATATAAGTCTAATCACTTTGGATAATCACATGTTAAGCATCTTTTAAACATTATTATGAACACATATAACATTTACTTAGGAAATCTCATAATTAACCCAAGAGTTATAAGACATCAAGCCGTCCACTCACCTCAAATGAGCGTGATGAAGTTCTACTCCTCTCGGTTGAACTCCGGCCAAACTCCGGTGAACTTTGACGAACTCCGGCGATAACTCCGGCGACCCTTTAAACTTTGTGAAAGCTTTTAAGTCACCTTTGACAAGTTCCTAACAAGGTTTTATCATCACAAAACCCATATTAATACAAATAACCTCTAAAAGGTTATTTTCCGGCTAACCGGTCGTTTTGGCTCCTAAGTCCGTTTTTGGACTTAGAACTAGTTTCAACCCCTTGTTCCACACTTATACACATGTGGAGCATCCTTAAGGGTAGTTCATATGATATATAAGTCATATGAAATCAAAAGATGGAAGAGAAGTTGTTAAAGAGCTACTCACCTTTATTCTCAAGGTCTTTCTCTACTTTTGCAACCTTTTTCTTCTTCCTTGAGCTCTTTGCTTGTTTGAGCTTTCTTGGCTATGGAGATGGAGGGTTTTCAGAGCTATTTCTCTCTCTCTTTGGGGGCTGGGTCGAGCTAAGTGATTGGGGGGAGGTGATGTGTTTCCTTTTGTCTTAAATGTGAGATAATTGGGAGGGGAGGTCTACCTAGGGTCATTCCTACACCAACCAATCACTCTCACTCAATATACACCACTCCCCCATGCTATGCAGCTCCCCAAGTCAACCATCTAGCACACAAAAACGTGGGGTGGCCCCCACTCATGTGGGAGGTCATCCCAACTTGTCCCGATGTGTACAATCGGCCCCGAAAGTTGTATTTCTCGGACTGTTTTAGTTATATTTTATTTTATCGGGTCAAATAAAATATATTACATGTTCACACTCATTATGGATCTTAAGAATGAATATACATTCCCCAACTTTAATTTAAGTCTCCGAAATTCATTTCGGACTGTTATCCGATAATTATCCAAAACCGGTAATTGGGCCTCGTTTGACCAATCGGTCAACCCAATGCCTTTCTTATGATCCAAAGTGAATGTCCACTACCATATAACTATTATCTATACCAAGATGAATAAAATAGGCGATCTCGGGAATATCGGGTGGTCCCCGCTCCCGGTGTGGGCCCCACGTGCAATTTACTATTCACGCAAAAGAATTAAAGGAAATTTACAACCTTGTAAATTCATTAACCATTTCATAAGATTCGACACACAATTTACTTAAAAGTAAATACACTTGGGGACGGTGTTACAGTAGTTATTCTATTTCTTTTCTTGGTCAACAATCAATCTTCGCTAAGTCAATAATATTTGATTTTTCATATTTTGTCAGCAACCTTCAGTGTTTTTCCAAGCCTCTAGTCAATCAACCTTGGATGTTTATTACTTATTACTTATTCTTATTTTATTTAGATCACATCAAATCAGGCGCTAGGCGGTGGTCGGGCGCCCCGATTTTCGTCTAGGCGCTCCGACTAATTGGTTTGCCGTCTAGGTGAATTAGTCGGCCGCCTAGTTGCCCGCCCAGAGCGCCTAATCGGCCGCCTAGGCCGTCTAGATTCGCCGGACATTACTTTACTTTTCAATTTTAATTTTCTAAGCGATATAAGTACTTTAACTTTAGCTACGGGTATAAAGAAACGAAGTCTTAAATTAAGATAAAGAGTATATATGTTTGTATATATACCTAAATTTTATTATTATTTATATTTATAACATAATGAAGTTAAGTGTTTAGTTGTCATATATTACGCATGATTAAATGTGATAATTCTGTCATTCATGTTTGTGTGTGTGTACATATGTATTTTATTTCTACAAGAATACAATATTACTTATCATATTTATGCAAAAATATAGATAAAAATGCAATTTCTATGTTCCGACTAGTCCCCGACTAGGCGCCCCGCCTAGCCGACTAGGCGCTAGGCGCTGGGCTGGCGCCCGACTAGCGCCTAGCGTCTTTTAGAACATTGGATCAGATCAGATCAGAAAGATTCAGATCAGATTAGAAACATTCAGATGAGATCAGAAACATTCAGATCAGATCAGGAACATTCAGATCAGATCAGAAAAGTTCAGACATGATTTATCCCTTTTATTATAATAATAATTATAATAATAATATTAATAATAATAATAATAATAATAATTATCATCATCATTATTATTATTATTATTATTCTTGTTATTGTAATTATTATTATAATTACTATTATTATTATTATTATTTATATTATTATTTATATTATTATTATTATTATTATCATTATTACTATGATTACTATGATTATTATTATTATGATATTTATTATTATCATGATTATTATTATTATTCTTATTACTATTATGGTTGTTGTTGTTATTAGTTTTTTTTGTTATTATTATATTACACGGAGTAATTACAATTAAAATTATAGAAATAAATATTATAATTAAAATTATAATTATAGAAACAATTATAACTAAAAATATAACTACAGTCATAATTATAGCTTTTTTTTGTTTACTCCAGGAGGCGTCTGGGGGAGGGGGTCTGAGGGGCTGAAGTAAACTAGGTTGAAACTCACCCCATTGAGTTTCGAACCCGAGACCTCCCATAAGGGAGAGTGAGTCGGCGACCAGCTGAGCTGAACCGCTTCCTCTAATTATAGCTATATTTATAACTACTGTAATACATATAATAATAATTATACCTATTATAATTATGATTATAATTATAATTATATTTTTTTTATAATTATGATTATAATTATAATTATAATTATATTTAAATTATATATGTGTAATTACATTTCTAATTATAATAATTAAAATTAAAATTATAATTTTAGAAATATGTAAATCAGATCAGATCAGAAGGATTCATATCAGATCAGGAACATTCAGATCAGATCAGGAACATTCAGATCAGATCAGAAATATTCAGATCAGATCAGACCAGATCAGAAAGATTCAGATCAGATCAGATCAGAACTTACAGAATTCAGATCAGATCAGAACTTAAAGAATTCAGATCTGAAACATTCTGATCAGGGAAGAGAACAACTTCTAAAAGCATCCTAAACCTGTTCATCAAAGAAGGGTTATTTGGTAAATTATCTTTTTTTTTGTGCAAGGTTTGGTAAATTATCTTTTTTTTTGCAAGGTTTGGTAAATTATCTTTTTTTTTGCAAGGTTTGGTAAATTATCTTGACATGCGGATTGCGGAATGTGGATGCTAACTTTGGGAACGGAGTGAACCAGAAAAAGGAAGTAAGGAACGACGTCTCTTAGCGGCTGCTTCCGGAAAGCTCTGACGGTCTGACCAACACACGACGTATAGCTTCATCATTCCTCCTCTATCATTCTTATGCTGCTGCGTGTAGCTTGAATTGCGCCCTAGTATACATACAGAAGCAAGAAACCCCTCTGTACATTTATATAACATATGTATTAAAGAGAGTAGCAGAAGATGGGCGATGATGTAGAGAAGAGGTTTAATGCGGTGATGGACAAGCTCATTCAAGCTCCTCCCAAATCCAATCTCAATGCTAGCAGGTTTTCCTTCGCTCTCCCATTTCTCACACCTCTTTCTATTTGTTTTGTTTTATGAATTTGTCAATTCAGCTTTTCTATCTGTTCATGTAGTTTTCACATCTTTTCTAAACTTATGTGATTTTGAGTGTATTATTGCCAGGTATGACGGTTTCATATTAGCGATTTATTTTTCTGATTTGTGTGTATGCCAACTCAGTTCATCAGAAGGTCAGCTCTCAAGAGGCAAGAAAAGACCAAATTCCTCCTATGCAGTAGGAGTGAGTGATCTGAGAACAAAATCGGCTGTAAGATTAAGTAATCTGTGGGGTTCGAGTGGAACAAATGAATCGTCTCCTTGCAGACCATGGGACCGAGGTGATTTTTATAGGAGGCTGGCCACATTCAAAGCCATGTTGTGGTTTGGCAAACCGCAGGTTGAACTCAAACACTTAATCTTGTGGACTTGCTCTTCTCATCATTTATTCAAAAAGAGGAACTTGTTATTGTAGCATTTAATAGCCCTCCTAAAATGTGCATCAGTAGCACTTGTTGGGGGGATATTGAAGATTACAGGCTCATTGCAATTTCACTCATTATTCTGATCTCCCAACTTTTCCCGTGATTTTAAGTTTTACTATCAGAAGGGCGACAACAAGCCAATACTCGAGCTTTGCTGGATAAAAAGGATTTTTCTTTGATCTGAGAAACAGTTTTGTCTCTTCTATGTCATTGTGGAAACACTAGACCCTTTTTACACAGTTAATGAACTTTTATCATTGCAACAATTTTTTATAAATTAGACTAATGCTGAAGCTGGGTTTTTATTTAGTTAAATTTGACAGATTATTGGTTGTCAGGTTTACTGATGTAACAATTTTTAGAATTCATAATTATAACTTATTGAGCTTATTCTTTTATCTCTTAGGCAAATGTCAAAACATTTATGAACATAGTTGTCATGGCGCATGGCGATCGCCATGGCTCAAAGGCATTTTTCATGGCGCATGGCGATGGCGCATATATGAATGGCGCATATAGCGCATATGGCGCTATGGCGACTGTCACTTTTTCATGGCGATGGCGCATATGGCGCGCGCCATATCTAGCCATTGACTACTATGTTTATGAACTATGAGAGTTCAACTGGTTTCTTAGTCATTTTTTCCCCTTAGAAAATCTTGTGTTATTGGCCTATTGGGTAATTTCAATGTAACCCTCGTTATTTTATTTAGGGGTAATTTGAGTTTGCACCCCATTTTATTGCTCAAATTGGACTTTACACCCCATTTTTAAAAATCTTAGTTTTTGCACCCCAACCCCATATGAAAAGACGAAAATGCCCCTCCATTAACAATTTTGTTGGCCTACAACATATTCTGATCGAGGGCATTTTTGTCTTTTCATATGGGGTTGGGGTGCAAAAACAAAGATTTTTAAAAACGGGATGCAAAGTCTAATTTAGACAATAATATGGGGTGCAAACTCAAATTACCCCTCTTATATTTAACAGCACATTTATTTTGGCTTTTGCTTATCTTTGTAAAGATAAACTTGTTCTTGTTCTTCTGTTTGTATTACAAACCTTTCTGTGAGATTTTAGTAGTATCTAAAAAAGGTAGAAATTGTTAATTTAAGTCATCACAATTCTTAACAGGTGATAAGTGCATTAAACTGTGCGAGAAGGGGATGGATAAACATAGATATGGATACTATTGCATGTGAAGCATGTGGAGTGCGTCTTTTATTTTCTTGTCCACCATCCTGGAGCCTCCAACAAGGCAAGCCCCCGTTCCGACCTAAACTCCTCCCAAAGTTACTGTCCTAGTGGCTGAAATATATTAAATAGCGCACAAAACAGTATTATTATCTTTTTTAGGTGAACATTGGCAGATGTAATTTGTTTCTGTTTTTTACTGTGATCAACAGTTGATAAAGCAGCATCAGTATTCAGCTTGAAACTGGACAGTGGGCACAAGCTGCTTTGCCCATGGGTTGACAATGCATGTGATGAAAAGCTAGCACATTTCCCGCAAATGTCTACTACTCT